CGGTGGGAAGAAGAAGAGAAAAGGATAACTGCAGAAAGGCACAAAGAAGAAAGAGCCAGAAGGGCGTACGAGGAAAAAATGACAATGTTTGAAGAGAGAGAGAAGTTAGACGAGTTAAGAAGGTATCAAGAAGCCATAAGAAGAGAGCGAGAAGAAGAAGAAAGGCAGAAGGCAAAGTCAAAGAAAAAAAAGAAGAAAAAGCCTGAGATAAGGGATAATTACGTAGATGACCTTCCTCCTAGAAGAAATGATAGAAGAATACCCGAAAGAGAGAGAATGGGGTGGAGGCGGCCTGCTGTCGAGTCTGGAAGGTACACTTCTGAGAGTGCCCCACCTGCTAAGCGGCGACGAGGAGGGGAGGTAATTGATGTTTACAGTGTCTTTCTTCATGTTTTGTGCAACTGCAACTTTCAACAGTAATCCTTTCCAAGACCCAAATATAAGCACCATCTGTTATATTATGTTTGCTATTTCTACTACTACAGTTTCTGAATGGCTTGAGTCTAGCGTTCACATTTTGCTCTTAATGAAGTAAAACCGGGAAGGATTAATTTCTGATTGAAAACCCATTGCATGCATGTTATTCCAAAGTACAGTATATACTCAAGTCTCATTTCCTTGTAAGAACTTAAGAAGGCTCAATTTGGTAATGTGAGCCTGTGGCTAAGAATTGTTTTCTCCTAACTTATCAACTAAAAAGGGAATGAGTTCAGTCAGACTATTAGAGGATAGTAGAACAATGACAAGTGGACGCAAGTTGAATTTAATATCCTTTTCAGTCAGCAAACTTGTTGGCACTCGTTGATTTTTTCCTCTTTCCTTTTTTTTCGCTTCTTCTGCAGGTTGGTTTGTCAAACATATTGGAAAGCATTGTGGAAACTCTTAAAGACAGGAAAGATCTTTCCTACCTCTTTCAAAAGCCAGTGTCGAAGAAGGAAGCTCCCGACTATTTGGATTTCGTTGAACACCCTATGGATTTGTCCACGATGAGGGATAAAGCAAGAAGGTTAATCTACAAGAACCGTGAGGAGTTCAGGCATGACATGTATCAGATTGCGTACAACGCTCACCTGTACAATGACCGGCGGAACCCAGGTATTCCTCCCCTTGCAGATCAACTGCTGGAGCTCTGTGACAACTTGTTAGATGTTAAAGACGAAGAATTAACAGAAGCTGAAGCTGGCATCGAGTATGTAGACAATTAGGTAAAATGTACTTCTGGTTACCATCGAGCCCCAAGTTTGAGAGCTTTTCCCCTTCACCTTACTTGGTATCCCATGGGGTTGGTACTTATTGGTTCCAATCAAAGTTGTCCCTCGGCAGATCAAGTTCTGGAATGGCTACATCAGTATGGTGCAGACTTCACAAAATCTGAAGCCAGCATTGAATATGTAGACTAGACAATTAGGTAAAATTTAGGTTCTTCCGGACCCATGATATTTTTGATAGCGTTTTACCCTTTACTTATTTGGGTTCCCATGGGTTCGGTACTTAAAGATTAATGTGAAGATCTCACTTTTACAGTATAGCCATCACATATTGTAGCATATTTGTATACATGCAAGTTCTGTATTTATGAGGCGACAAAAATGTAAAGAAATTTGTATATTGCACAAGAATGAGTAATGTTTTAGGAAAGAGGGTGATGCTACATATACGCTTTGGGTGTATGCGGGCCCCTTTCATGTGATGGGGGTATAATGATTATGTACTTCGAAAGTGTACAAGTAGAATTATTCTAAGAAAAAAGGCGCAAGCTAAAATCTACTTCTAGAATTGAGAACCATTTGGTTCGGGTTCGGGTATATCTATGAGAGTTGAATTCTGATATCAGTTGGGTACAAATGTGCCACTAGAACCAATAATATATTGTTTTAATTTATATATTTCCTAATCATGCGTAGGGCATTTTGCATAAATAGGGAAAAAATTNTCAATAATCGCGCAATAAAAGTAAATCACTACAAAAATAATAATTCAAACTATGTGTTACGTTCCTTTTAATATTAACATGACTACAAAACAAGTAGACATGAGTTCCATCAAAATATAACGTTTAAGGTCCGTTATTGACATAAACCTATAGCTTAAGAAGTGCTGAAATTTTTCAACATCGCGTGGATCTTGATAAATGATACGTTTTGCATACTTTATGATGAAAATGCCACAATCCGAACTGTACAGAACATATAAAAAGTTCAATAGCCAAAAAAAAAAGGGTCAAAAACTTTTATGAGAGAAGAAAATCCCATTCGTACAATAAAAAAAAAAAAAGAAAGAAAGTCGGGGACTTATAATAAGTGTGTGATATTTCTATGGCTGTATAAAATCGGATTTTTCTTTTACACGGCCCAGCTATTGTGCTCGACCTAATTTTCCCCATATGTTTTTATATTTTTTAATATCAAATAATTATTTTATGAATTTGCTTTCTTTCTATATTTATTTTTATTAGTAATCAACAATTAAATTTAAATATCTTTTCATATACTTTATAGTATTACTGACTGCTAATTCATTTATTTTTAATTTTATATTAATCATAGCGGTATTTTTTTTTATTAATATTATTGTTCATAATATTCGATTTTTAATAATTTACTACTTTTTTGCCCGTATAAAGCAAGACTATGTTATTTTAAAGATATTGTTAGCGTGTCGAAAATTACATTATGGATGACACATCCGCACAATTAAATAGCAATCCATTCAAAATTCGACTACAACAACAAACATAAAAGATATCTGTGTTGTGCATTACACGTCCCTAGATCCAAGCCAAAATAGGCTCAAAATCTACCTGCTTAATCTCTGACTGAATGTGCACAGAACAATTGGTCGATGCCAAGTCCATAGACTATCTCAGCACTCGTCCCTGAGCTATCTGCCTAATATATCACAGTGCCTTTTGTAACAAGGGCTTTGTTCTATAGATAGGCCCCTGTTCACACGTCAGCCCCCTGTTGACTGGTTGTCTGCGCTGGACAGGGGCTTGTCCAAAAAGATTATTCCGTGTAACAAAATCTAAAAGGATAATTCTATATGTACATTATGGTATTCATAAGGATATCTATAATGTACATGTGAAATTCCTTGATTGAAGGGTTGAAAAAACTATTTTAACTCTTTAATGATGTCATGCCTCTTTTGTACATTATGACATCTTTCTGGACATCATAATGTACATGTAGCATAACCCAATCTATAAAAGAACAGTCAGTATACATTTTGACAGCATGGAAAAAGAACTAGAAAGGCCAAGCGGTAGATTTTTCATGGTACATCTGGGTTGTGAATGTTAGAATAATTTTAAAATATGGACCTTCCATTTGATTGGAAATTTTATGTTTTATAAAAGTAGAAATTACATAGAAGCCTACTTTTAAAGATCACATTTCATAAATCATATGCCAAGTTTTGTATTTCTTTTTTAATTTATAATAATTATAAAATCAAATTAATTATATACCTAACCCACCCACCACAATTTCGATTCCAAAACCTAATCTCTCTATCCTTCTCCATGATCTCCTCACTCTCTTACCATCAATAGATGCCGCAACCAAGAGAGCTCTATTGACAGAAGAGCACGTCGCCTCCAGGCAGCGCCACTGCGCTCGCCATTGCACACAACGGCTATCGCTCTCCTTTATCTCCTCTCTCTCTTACCATCAACGAACTGTGCTACCAAAAGAGCTCGGCCAACAGAAGAGCAAGTCGCCTACAGGAAACTTTGGTTGGCGCAGTGTAGCAGATGCGGTGTTGTGTAGCAGTTGGTGGTGGTGCTGTGCGATGGCGGTGGTGGGAAACAAGAGGTGTGGTTGTGGTAGTTGGGTGAGTTGTGTGGTTATGGTGATGTACTGTGATGGTGTGCAACGCGGTGTTGTGTAGCAGCGATAGTGGTGGTGTTATGCGTGGTGGTGGTGCTGTGATGCAGTGGTGGAGGTGTGTGGTGGCGATGGTGAGAAACGTGAAGTATGTTGGTGGTGTGGTTGCGGTGGTTGGGTGAGTGGTGTGATGTACCATGATTGTTTCTTTTTGCCTATCCTGTGAAGAAGTGTTTGGGTATGGTGGTGGTTGAAAATGGTGGAGGTGATGATGGCAATAATTGTGGAGACGATGACGATAGTGGCAAGGTGATGGCATTTTGGATCTAATTTGTTGGTGGAGAGGTGGTGGCGGCGATAATTTTGGCGATTGCATTTTAGATCTGATTTGTGGTGGTTGTAGGTTGCGATTGTGGTGGCAGTATAATATGAAAATACTTGTGACCAACTATTTGGGGATTCGTGACCAATTGTCGGGAGCTGGTGGTGGTATTTTGGTAACGAAGGTGGTGATGTTGCAATTGAAGGAAATAGTGAGATGGTGGTCACAAGTTTCAGTGGTGATCACAAATTTTAGTGGTGGTCACAAATTATTTGATTGACTGTGACCATTAAATTGATTATTCTATGAATAATAAACAATATGTGATCAATAAAAAAATATAAATTATAACCAAGGAATAGCATGTGACCTAAAAAATTGTTAATCTATGACTGATAATTTGTCAATTTGTGATAGTATAATAAGTTGTTACTTATAATATTTGTAATTTGTGAATAATAAATAAATCGTGACTTATACATTTTTTATTTGTGATCAATCAACAAATTGTGATCTATAAAAATTTTGAACTGTGAATGTAAAATAATCTGTGATATAAAATTTCTGATCTGTGACCCAAAAAATAAAAACTGACTAACTAAATCAGTAATTTGTGATCAAATTGTACAGATTCGTGACCTAAATATATGTAATTAATAAAATAAATAAATAAATAAATTATAAATAAATTTCTATAAAATCTCATTTTTGAAGTTTGAAACTTGTTTTCTTGATTTTGAAACGTGTGATACTTATATTCTTACTTATGAATTTTTCCCATTATAAAACAAGTTCAATAACGATACCATGGTTAAGCCCAATATGTCAAGTGATCACTTGGACCGTTTTACATCTTAGTCATATAAGGTTATATCTTATATAATGTGAAAATTTAAGTATGTGGGCCAAAAATATATAAAGGGTGTTTGACACTCATTTTTATGGAAAAATGAATTTTAGAATAGTAAATTGATGGAGAATGTGTAGATAAAAATAAGGAAAAAAATTTGATTTACGTGAAATATTATTTTAATGAAGAATGTGTGATTGAAAAGTATAGAGAAAAAAATGTATTTAGAGAAAAATGGAAATCAAACGTGGCTTTAAATCCTAATTAGGGTTAGAGTTGTTAATGGGATGGCTCAATAAATTTCTACATAAAATGCTCGGTCCTCTCCCCTCTTTATATATTTTTTATTGGTTTGATCCATTGACAGCTAATATTTTTGTGAGGAATTAAGAGGGAAAGATCTAGTGCCAATATTCATATCCAAGATGTTTTCCGCAACTATGAATCTTAAACTATTAATTTAGAATTGTGATTTTTGTTTCTTAGTAAAGTGTTTGATTTTTTAATTTGTAACTTAAGGGTATTTTTGTCTTTTGAAACAAAATTCTATTTTTGTAATTGTATAAACTAATTAAGGGCATTTTTGTCTTTTACTCAAGAAAATGCCATTTTGGTTATAGACAAATATTTTTTGGTTAAAGTAAAAAATTGCAATTTTGACTAAGCCAAACTAAAAATTACCCCCTATTGCCACAGAGATTTTTAATGTATTTTGGTTTGCCGTCATTACAATATTGATTTTTAGTTAAATTATTTGACTTAATTGTAAGACTGCATATGATCTCAATTAAATTGGTCTGTATGACACTTTACGTAGAGTTGTATTTTTTAAACTTGTATCAAGATTCATGTCAATAAGTTTGAAACAACTATTATGTAGGTCTTTAAAACACAACTTTTGTATTTACTTTTATTTTATTTTATTTATTTTTTTAAATGGCTTCAACTTGCATGTATTCGCTGGTAATTTGCTTTTGCTTTCGAGTAACACGTGTCTTGCACAATGTTTTAATAAGCGATTAGTCATAGCTTGACCATTCTAATCCCTTCTATCTGCATTTAGAAGAAACTGGAGATAAATTATGCCAGCTAACTTCTCCACTTTTGACTTTCTTTTATGTTACTATGTATACAGGAAAGTTGACCTTTGAAGATACATAATTATATGCATATATTTAGACATGATTGCTAGGGTAATCAATTACCAAATTGAAAATAATTTGATAATCAGATGGAGTTTAAACTTGAGAATATTTTTTTGTTCATCTAGTTCTTGAATCCTATCTGTGAGATATATTGTAATATCTGTTAAAATTTTGTTACTGATTTGGTCTCACAATGACATACCTTGATTTTATCATGTTGGTTATTATGATTTAATTATTGTTTTGTGATTAAATATGGGCTTTAAAACTATTCTTGTTTTACCATTAGAAGAAATATTTTGAAATAAAAATGGGTGGTAGCTGTCAAAGTAGCACACCTATTGTTATTTATTCGCTTTTCTAAAAAAAAAAAAAAAGAAAGGAAAAAGGGTTGGCATCGCTTTCTGAATTATTGTATATAGTATCTTGCCCAAAACTATTATCATATGTGATGTTTTGGAAAATAACATAAAACAGTTAACGAGTTTACTTGGGTCTAAAAATTTCCT